ATCGCCTCAGTGCTTACTGTTATTTAGTTTGAATACATCAGAATGAATTCTGCATCCTTTGGCACCTCCACTTTCAAAGTGCGAGTACAGCTCCACCGTTCAAGGTGCCTGGTAGAGATGAATTTGCGAGGAATGGAGGAGCAATAACTCATGTTACCAAAGTGAAGAGCTCGTTGAAACGTTATCTACTTCTGTTTGTCTGCGATTTTTTGTTCTTTGGTCGTATTCGCTAACGGACACAGATGATCACTTGTTATAATAAGGATTTTTGATAGGCCTTATGCATGACGATATTCTCTTTAGCTGTTTTATGTTGTCCTTCAATGCAATAAGCATCATATTCTTATGGCCCTTCGTTACGTAGCATTTGGCAGGACAATCTGCTTCTATCTACCAGCGTTTCCCTTCGATGCGATCTCTCAGTTCTTCAATTCTTCACAAAAAGTTTGAGCGTCCTAGCTACGGTGATATCTAATCTGAGGCCGGCTAACAGTGGCCATGCTTTTGCATGTGCTGAATATTCATAACCAGCCTATCGGATTGTCGGTGACTTTTACTGCTTAGCGCCCAGAGCCAACGATTCTTTCGAATAGGTCGCGTTGTCGCTGATTAGGTAATTGTTCATGGATCACCGTTGCCTATATATTAACGCTTCGTTTTTCATTCATCTTAACCTTCGTTCGAGGCATCTGGTGATCGAAGCAATTCTAGAATGAGAAAACACATGTCATCCTCGATCAATCGGCGTTTGTATGTCATGACATAATCAATCTTGTTTTGGACTGCGTTATTCGATGCTGATCATGCCTATTCTTTTAGACTCGTTTTTTGAAAAAATTGTTTATTAGATGCGGAGAATCGATTCTGCATAGTATGCTAGTTTTTGATAAGGTTCGTTTTTAACTGCCGGCCTAAATTTCGTAGAAGGAACAGCTTCTCTCTAAAGGCAAATACGAGTCTACTTCGTTCTTTCATGCTGCCTACTGGCTTCCTTGTCGACGTCTGTGTTATATCGGCTCCCACAAGGGAAGCAAATGATCGTGAGTAAATGATTTGTGCCCAACGAATCTGTCTAACTGAGCCAACCTCCATTTCTTATTCTCAAAATCATCGATTTAAGCTACATGTGCCCGAAAGAAAACGGAGTAATTTTTTACGTGGTCGTGCCATTTATTCTTCGAAGCCAACGTTGCTGTACGCAATTTAACCGTGGTAGAATAACTGTCGCCAGTGCGCACAGCATCACTGATCTGACTGAGACAAAGTATAGGCGGATTGTTAAGAAAAGGGTTACTACTTTTCTCAGTCCAAATAGTGGACAGGTTCTCCAAATGCAGTCAAGGCTAGGGCGATCCTCTAATTTTACGATGACTGAATGGTGCCATCGCTGATGAAGATATTGGCAATCCTCCTGAAGCGTTCCACTTAGAGATCTGCTGTGCTGAAAGTGTTCCTGATGACTTATGATATATGTGGCATGAGAAGAGGCCGATTTTCACTGTATTGCATACCGAAGCAGTTAGGAGACAGTGTCCGCTGTTTGGACTACTTGTCAGGTTAATATCATTTGCTTCTTCCCTAGAATGAGACCTTCATCTTTGCCTTGGTTAGAGCTGTTTCAGAGGAAAGAATCGAGTCAGTCTCAGTAGCAAAGGCGAACATGCTCTCCCCGTAGATATCCACTGTTAAATGGGAGCCACTCAGACTGTTTCAACTGTACGTGTAGCAGATACTACGCCCGCATAGGCGTGTTCTAAAATGAGAAACAACACGTGCACAAAAACATTCAAGGATGTCGCAAATTGTTTGACAGTGCACTAGATCAAATGCAGCCTTAAAATCTAGGAAAACGGCAAGGGAAGGCAGCCAACCAAAATGGTCGGTGTTGTTTAATGAATGTACGAAAGGTGAAATTTTTGTCAGAGTGAGATTAGCCCCTTCGAAAGCCTACCTGATTTAAACCAAGTCTCTAATCCGTCCACTGCGTATTCCGTTTGGAATACCCCAGGTAAGCAGTATCTCAGAGTTAACAGTAGGACGAGGCTACGATAGCTGGAACACTCATTGTACTGTCTGCGGCTAAGTATAGCTGCAATTAATAGATAATTTTATCCACCCAGGAAATGTTTCGAGGCCTAGCGTTGATTAAAAAGAGTTCTAAGTTTTCTGCCTTCCGCCTTCTTTCCTGTTTACTTAGCTTCCTGGAGTTTCGATTCCTACTAAAGGCCTTCTTCTCCTTAAGGTATGCTAAAGTTTTCTGGATTTTTAGTTTTGTAGATGTGTCTGCACTAACCTCTAATGCCACCAAATAATTGACGGTCGGATGGGACAAATTTGGTGAGCAGCGGATGATAGGCTATTAAACATGCTCAGAGTAAGAGGCGCTCTCCTGATATGGGAATGTTGCATCTAAAGCAAGGCAGAAAGCATTGCTATCAACTCAAGGAAAATTTCGATGCTATGAACAATTTACCCAATGAATTTCCAATGTGTGAAAAACATTATTCTAGTGAGTGACTCTAGCAGTGGCTGGATAGCATATACTGGCAGTGTGTGCAAAAAGGCAGGCAAAGTGGGCCAGATTGCGAGTTAACCCGACTGGAACAAAGCTGGAAAGCGCATCAGAAGCGATAGAGATGTTAAGATCAGCCGGAATGATACGACGGTATGGAACGTAAACCGTTTCAGGTACATCTCTCCCTTAATTCGCGAACATTCAATATACGAATTTTCGTTATAACAAACCTGCAAGATTTATTCCTATTTTTCAAGTTACGATCATTGGCTGCTCAGTAACATTCAATCAACCTTTGTCATCTAAGTGGGGAGCATGGCGGAAAACAGTAGCACGCAACACATTGTTAATGCGAGCTTCCCTTAGACCCCCAACGCTGTTTTTGTTTGTTTTGATTATCACTTTGCGTCATCTGCATCAGCAGAGTATCTCTGGTTTGTGATACCCGCTGCAGTTTCAGCTTTCTAACAATTATATTGTTTATAGCGCTATAAACTCTTAACGCTTACAAA